GATGACACATGTAGCCTCCACATCAGCACTACCCTCCCCCCCAATGTCCCACCAACAACTTGACTGATGACACCTGCAGACCGCATATCAGAACTACCCCCCCCCCCCCCCCCCCCCCCCCCCCCCCCATGTCCCACCAACAACTTGACTGATGACTCCTGCAGACCGCACATCAGAGCCCACTGTCACCTCCTTCCCTGATGACACCCACAGTTCACACATTAGACCCTGCCACTACCTTCTGTACTGACAACGTCTATGGTCTACACAGCAGACCCCCCCGAATCAATTTCACCCTTCACCAGAGAACGTTGTCAGCTCTGCGGCTCACTTTTTCCCCCAGTTTTCATACATCATCCCCCTTGTTTGTGATTGAACTCAGCTGTTTCTTCATTGGATTGGTGATTGAATCAGTATAGTTACCCCTCACATGCCGCCTGGATCCAGACATTGACATATATGGACTTATTGTATATCATTCCGCTTCTTTTTCTTTTTTTTGCACAGAGAACTTCTCACGCCTGGATGTAGAATCCACTAGGGAATATTTAAGGTCATTTAGTAATCAGGCAAACATTCCATTTCTGTCAGAAAAAAAAAAAATCAAGATCTAGTATGAAAATAATATGAAACTCCTGGCCTCGACTGCAGGAATGAAATTAATTTAGTCTCGGGATTTTCTTCTTGATAAACGTGCCGATACATAAACACCGGCATCTAACTGTCATACTTTTGTTGCTTTTTTTCCCCACATAAGGATTACAGTATATTGTGCTGATTTCCTATGAATTCATACATACCGGTACATTCATTCATCTTTTAGTAAAAATAAAAACAATAAAATAAATATAATTTTTTTTTATTATATATGTGTGTGTGTATATGTATATATATATATATATATACAGTGGGGATGGAAAGTTTGGGCACCCCAGCTAAAAATTTGTATTAATGTGCATAAAGAAGCCAAGGAAAGATGGAAAAATCTCCAAAAGGCATCAAATTACAGATTAGACATTCTTAAATATGTCAACAAAAGTTAGATTTTATTTCCATCATTTACACTTTCAAAATAACAGAAAACAAAAAAAAATGGCGTCTGCAAAAGTTTGGGCACCCTGCAGAATTTATAGCATGCACTGCCCCCTTTGCCAAGCTGAGACCTGCCAGTGTCATGGTTTGTTCTCAATCATCGTCTGGGAAGACCAGGTGATGTCACTCTCAAAGGTTTTAAATGCCCAGACTCATCTGACCTTGCCCCAACAATCAGCACCATGGGTTCTTCTAAGCAGTTGTCTAGAAAACTGAAACTGAAAATAGTTGACGCTCACAAAGCTGGAGAAGGCTATAAGAAGATAGCAAAGCGTTTTCAGATGTCAATATCCTCTGTTCAGAATGTAATTAAGAAATGGCAGTCATCAGGAACAGTGGAAGTTAAAGCAACATCTGGAAGACCAAGAAAAATATCAGACAGAACAGCTCACAGGATTGTGAGAAAAACAATTCAAAACCCACGTTTGACTGCACGATCCCTCCAGAAAGATCTGGCAGACACTGGAGTTGTGGTCACTATTCCACTATAAAGAGATACTTGTACAAATATGGTCTTCATGGAAGAGTCATCAGAAGAAAACCTCTTCTACGTCCTCACCACAAAAAATCATCGTTTGAACTTTGCAAATGAACATATAGACAAGCCTGATGCATTCTGGAAACAAGTTCTGTGGACCAATGAGGTTAAAATTTAACTTTTTGGCCGGAATGAGCAAAGGTACGTTTGGATAAGAAGGGGCACAGAATTGAATGAAAAGAACCACTGTCCAACTGTTAAGCATGGGGTTGGATCAATCATGCTTTGGGGTTGTGTTGCAGCCAGTGGCACAGGGAACATCTCACGAGTAGAAGGAAAAATGGATTCAATAAAATTTCAGCAAATTTTGGATGGTAACTTGATGCCATCTGTGAAAAAGCTGAAGTTAAAGAGAGGATGGCTTCTGGGATTACATCAAGGGGGAGGCGTAAACTGAAGGTTTTGCCATGGCCTTCACAATCTCCTGACCTCAACATAATTGAAAATCTATGGATAGACCTTAAAAGAGCCGTGCGTGACAGACAGCCCAGAAATCTCAAAGAACCGGAAGACTTTTGTAAGGAAGAATGGGCAAAGATACCTCAAACAAGAATTGAAAGACTCTTGGCTGGCTACAAAAAGCGTTTACAAGCTGTGATACTTGCCAAAGGGGGCAGTACAAGATATTAACTCTGCAGGGGGCCCAAACTTTTGCAGACGCCATTTTTTTGTTTCCTGTTATTTTGAAAGTGTAAATGATGGAAATAAAATCTAACTTTTGTTGACATATTATAAGAATGTCTAATCTGTAATTTGATGCCTTTTGGAGATTTTTCCCATCTTTCCTTGGCTTCTTTATGCACATTAATACAAATTTTTAGCTGGGGTGCCCAAACTCAAACTTTCGATCCCCACTGTGTATGTGCATATATATATATATTATAATGGTGAACAATATCAATTACTATAAAATATATGTGATAAAATACCACTAAATGCAATATCAAAGCAGCCAGCACAGTATCGCAGGTGTCAATACATAAACTAAATAAACATACGTGTGCAGCGCTACATTCAAAAAAATACTAATAATCATAAAAAAAACACATAGAAAAATGTATTACATAATAAACAATTATAATGTCCACATATGCAAAGAAGATTTCTTTGTGCAAAATAAAAGTCCAAAAAAAAAGTGACTTCAAAAGAATTTTTCATGTGATTCCAAAAAAACACAAAAAATAAATAAAACATAGAAGACTTTCTTGCAAATCCACTGTCACCAACACCTCAAAAAATACTGCCGCTTACCCAGACATGTATGACCCCACAATTAAGTGACAGCATTTATGGATTTCCCAATAGGATGGAAGACTCAGTTACTGCTGACTTAGAGTAATACGATATACTCATGCACTGAATGCAATTGGACATCAGTAAAACCACTTTCACTGGATTTCCAAATCAAGATATAGCGCCCAAAAAGATACTCCAAATAAGTGGCCAAATGTAAACCTAAAATAATGAATTGTCCTCAAAGAGGCCAAAATCATCCAAAAAGCAAAAAAGTGTTCATGGCGCAGTATAACAAACAAAATTTATTGTTTCACAACGTAGTATTATACATACATCAAGATATACTTAAAACAGCATATCACGATATAACCAAATGGTAACGTTTCTAACCAACAAGATGGCCGCCGCGCTCCGGTGCGTGCTGATGTCACGCGTACTGACTCCTCCCAACGTGTTTCGTCATTTATGACGTCTTCAGGGGCGTATACTACTACGTTATACGATGTACGTATAATACTTCGTTGTGAAGCAATAAATCTTGTTTGTTATACTGCACCATGAAGTCTTTTTTGCTTTTTGGATGATTTTGGCCTCTTTGAGGACAATTCATTATTTTAGGTTTACATTTTGCCATTTATTTGGAGTATCTTTTTGGGAGCTTATATTTTGATTTGGAAATCCAGTGAAAGTGTTTCTACTGATGTCCAATTGCATTCAGTGCATGAAGTATATTGTATTACTCTAAGTCAGCAATAAAGGAGTCCGCCATCTTGTTTGGAGATCCATACATCCATACGCGCGTTTTTTGACTGTCACTTAATTGTGGGTCATATATGTCTGGGTAGGCGGCAGTACTTTTTGAGGTGTTGGTAACGGTGGATTCGCAAGAAAGTCTTCCATGTTTTATTTATTTTTGTGGGGTTTTTTTGTAACACTGTACTGCTAGGGTGACAGTATGTAAAAATATAAAAATAAAATGTAAATTTTATTAAAAATTATAATTTTTGGTTATAAACTAATTTAGGTTATTTTTTTTTTTTTTTACTAAAAAGATAACGGAATAAATTTTTGGCCAAGATTTATGATGAAATATTATTTATTTGCAAAATGTTATAAGAAAACACTTTTTTTCAAAATTTTTGGACATTTTCATTTACATAGCAAAAAAAAAAAAAATAAAAAATCCCAGTGGTCAATAAATACCATCAAAATAAAGCTTTATCTATCTAAAAAAAAAAGGGGGTGAAAGTGCTCAAAAATTCATATGGGTACAGCGTTACATGACCGCGCAAATTGTCATTCAAAGTGTGATAGCGCTGAAAGCTGAAAATTGGCCTGGGAGGAAGGGGGTGAAAGTGTCCGGACTGGAAGGGGGGGAAAGTGTCCGGACTGGAAGGGGGTGAAAGTGTCCGGACTGGAAGGGGGGGAAAGTGTCCGGACTGGAAGGGGGTGAAAGTGTCCGGACTGGAAGGGGGTGAAAGTGTCCGGACTGGAAGGGGGGGAAAGTGTCCGGACTGGAAGGGGGGGAAAGTGTCCGGACTGGAAGGGGGGGAAAGTGTCCGGACTGGAAGGGGGGGAAAGTGTCCGGACTGGAAGGGGGGGAAAGTGTCCGGACTGGAAGGGGGGAAAGTGTCCGGGACTGGAAGGGGGGAAAGTGTCCGGAATCTGGAAGGGGGTGAAAGTGAATCCCGGACTGGAAGAAGGGGAAGTGTCCGGACTGGAAGGAGGGGAAGTGTCCGGACTGAAAGAGGGTGAAAGTGTCCGGACTGGAAGGAGGGGAAGTGTCCGGACTGGAAGGGGGGGGAAAGTGTCCGGACTGGAAGGGGGTGAAAGTGTCCGGACTGGAAGGGGGTGAAAGTGTCCGGACTGGAAGGGGGTGAAAGTGTCCGGACTGGAAGGGGGGGTGAAAGTGTCCGGACTGGAAGGGGGGGAAAGTGTCGTGAGAGTGTCCGGACTGGAAAAGAGGGTGAAAGTGTCCGGACTGGAAGGGGGGAAAGTGTCTGGACTGGAAGTGGTTAAGTAGGATCTCATGGCACACGGCTGAATACATAGAAACAATGTGTTTATGGGTAAAACTGGTTTATTTGGCAAATTGGTAAACCAGTGACTGACTTGAAGCTTTTCTGTCTTTCAGGTGAACTGAAGCAGGAGATGCTGGACGATGCTCAGAATAAGCTCATGAATCTGCTCAACAGCACTGAGGGGAAGGTGGACAAGTAAGTGACTCCGCAATGTCAAAGACCTGTGCTAATGTTCTACACAGAGACATGGTCACCTTGTCTCGGTGACCCATAGTACAAACATGCGCCTCAAAAGAGGAGACGAGCAAAACGGGTCATAGTTGAGCACAATGTATATTAAATTGAAAAAAAAAAAAAGGTTACCACTAAGCACATAGTAACAACATGCATTCATCAAAATACGGCCAACGCGTTTCACCTGTGCATTTGGCTTCTTCAGGACCGTAGCTTGAATTTGAGGGAGAGTAGTGCTGCTGCATATATAAAGAAAGTACTAAATAAATGTACAGACAAACAAACAAATATATAAAAGATCGACACAATTTATATTGTAGGGTAACAGGTTGTGAATCCTGACTGACAACTGCCAGGAGCTGTGCGAACAATAATGGAACCCCCCCCCCCCCCTCGCCCCGGCCGCCGTGATGTCAAACCTCAAGTATCTCCAGGGAATGTTTTTAGTTTTTTTGTAGACAAGCCCCTCAAACCTCCCGTGTGGATCTCTCCCCGTCCTCCAGCCTCTCTTATCTTGTTTGTCGTCTTAATCTCCATCCTGGGATCAGAGAGATGCAAAATGTCCAACATGTTGATGGCCCCGGGGCTGCCGGCGATTGATCCCACATGTGCGTTGTTGTAAACTGTCTGCAGAGCCGAATCTTCCCAGTAAAGGAAAACAAGAATGATGATTTCCTGGGGATTGTCTGCCACTCGCTGGGCATAATGTGGAGGAGGACGGCGTCTCGTAGAGATCTGTGAGGAATCGTCGGTAGAGCGCAGTATTGGGGTTAGTGAATGTTCGTTGAGGGTTTCTGCAGATTTGTGCATCTATACGGCCGGCTGGCTCCTGTTCATCATATTCCACACGGCTTGTTCCTTCAGTCCCCTCTAACTGCTACACATTATATGCTTAGGGCTAGAGAGCTACACGAGCATGAAACGTGGGGACTCCCATTGTTGGTCTCAATCTCGTTGCCAATCACACTGATTGGCCAGCAAGGGGTCGGGGAAGCCAGGCCAGAGCAAATATGAAGAAGGCATATCCCTCTATAGTTTGTACTTGTCTCAGTCCAGAGCACTAAGTGTCATTTCTGTCTGCTGCCTCCTTCCTCTGCTATAAGTAAGAGTCACTTCATGTTTTCCTGACACCAAAAGAAAGATGGTGACAGGGGAGGGAGCTCCAGCAGATTGACAGCCCCAGCTCTGTTCCTGTGTGCTATGTGGAGGCAGGTGTGTCCCTTCCCTCCATTGAGCTGTGCAGTGTTGTCGGGTAGCAAAAATGTGGCTCAAATGTGCATGGATAATCCATATGGATAAAGGAAAGGTTCCTTCCTTCGATTGACCCGTCCTTCCTTCCTTCCTTCGATTGACCCTTCCTTCCTTCCTTCGATTGACCCTTCCTTCCTTCGATTGACCCTTTCCTTCCTTCCTTCCATTGATCCTTCCTTCCATTGATTTTTCTATTGATCCTTCCTTCCATTGACCCTTCCTTCCTTCGATTGATCTTTCCTTCTATTGACCCTTCTTTCCTTTCTTCAGTTTTTCTGATACCCTAAAAAAAAAAATGGTGACAGGGGAGGGAGCTCCAGCAGATTGACAGCCTCAGCTCTGTTCCTGTGTGCTATGTGGAGGCGGGTGTGTCCCTTCCCTCCATTGAGCTCAAATGTGCATGGATAATCCATGTCCATATGGATAAAGGAAAGGTTCCTTCCTTCGATTGACCCTTCCTTCGATTGAACCGTCCTTCCTTCCTTCGATTGACCCGTCCTTCCTTCCTTCGATTGACCCGTCCTTCCTTCCTTCGATTGACCCTTCCTTCGATTGACCCTTCCTTCGATTGACCCGTCCTTCCTTCCTTCGATTGACCCTTTCTTCGATTGACCCATCCTTCCTTCCGTCCTTCCTTCGGATTGATCCTTCTTTCCTTCCTTTGATTGACCCTTCCTTTCTTCCCTCGATTGATCCATCCTTCCTTCCTTCCCTCCTTCCTTCGATTGATCCTTCTTTCCTTCCTTTGATTGACCCTTCCTTTCTTCCTTCGATTGACACATCCTTCCATTGATTTTTCCATTGATTCTTTCCATTGATCCTTCCTTCCATTGACCTTTCCTTCCTTCTATTGACCCTTCTTTCCTTTCTTCAGTTTTTCTGACACCAAAAAAAAATGGTGACAGGGGGAGGGAGCTCCAGCAGATTGACAGCCTCAGCTCTGTTCCTGTGTGCTATGTGAAGACGGGTGTCCCTTCCCTCCATTGAGCTGTGCAGTGTTGTCGGGTAGCAAAAATGCGGCTCAAATGTGCATGGATAATCCATGTCCATATGGATAAAGGAAAGGTTCCTTCCTTCGATTGACCCTTCCTTCCTTCGATTGACCCGTCCTTCCTTCCTTCGATTGACCCCGTCCTTACATTCTTCCTTCCATTGATCCTTCCTTCCTTCCTTCCTTCCTTCCTTCCTTCCATTGATCCTTCCTTCCATTGATCCTTCTCTTTCCTTCCTTCCTTCCATTGACCCTTCCTTCCTTCCTTACATTGACCCTTCCTTCCTTCCTTCCATTGACCCTTCCCTTCCTTCCTTCCTTCCATTGACCCATCCTTCCTTCCTTCCTTCCATTGACCCTTCCTTCCATTGACCCTTCCTTCCTTCCCATTGACCCTTCCTTCCTTCCTTCCTTCCTTCCATTGACCCTTCCTTCCTTCCATTGACCCTTCCTTCCTTCCTTCCATTGACCCTTCCTTCCTTCCATTGACCCTTCCTTCCTTCCTTCCTTCCTTCCATTGACCCTTCCTTCCTTCCTTCCTTCCTTCCTTCCTTCCTTCCTTCCTTCCTTTTTGACCCTTCTTTCCTTCCTTCAGTTTTTCTGACACCAAAAAAAAAAAATTGGTGACAGGGAGGGAGGTCCAGTATAATGACAGCCTCAGCTCTGTTCCTGTGTGCTATGTGGAGAAGGGTGTGTCCCTTCCCTCCCTTGAGCTCTGCAGTGTTGTCGGGTAGTAAAAATGCGGCTCAAATGTATATGGATAATCCATATGGATAAAGGAAAGGTTAACTTTGAATCAGGTTTTGCTGAAATGAGGGCTCCCTGGGGGTGATTGGGGGTCCTGGGGAGGACTGGAAGAAACTGGCGGCTTTGGGAAGCATTTCATTTATCCTATTGTATACCACACAACCATATGGTGGGTTTACTTTAAAGGGTCCTGGGAACCCTAACATTGGACTTCTTATTTTGCTCTCTTTCACTCTTTTAGATATACCTGCAAAAGCATTTTGTTATTCGTCCAGTAAATGCAAAAAAAATCTGTTGATCCCGCCAGAAATCTTGGGATCTGATCGCATTCAGCACAAAGTGCAAAGGAAGTTATCAGTTACATTGTCCTGTGCTGAGGACTACAGAACCCCTCTCCTCTGTTATAGAGAAGAGGAAAGGGGCGGAGTCCTGTAGTCCTGTTTTGTTATCCTGATCATTGTCAACCTAGGACAGGAAGCGTGTAACTGGCAGGATCGCCCAAAAATGCAGTCACCACATCCCAGAACTGCAATATATTAAACTTTTAGTTTTTGGGTCAGGATATGCTATTACTGTGTTCTTTATTATTATTTATTTATTTTTTCAGGCTGCTGATGCGGAATCTGTTTGTCGGGCACTTCCACACCCCAAAAAACAAGCGTCACGAGGTCCTGCGTTTAATGGGCAGCATCCTCGGACTAAAGAAAAACGAGATGGATGAGGTGAGTACGGCGTTCTTTGACTTGCAGTGTGTCCGTGATTATTGTGCGCACTGTCAGAGCCGCGTGCGTGTCATCTGTAGCGGTGTGCGGCGACCAGAAGGGCTGCGCTATAATGAGACAATTGGCTGCTTTAGATTGTGACCGCAAGCTGCCTTATTATTATTATACAGGATTTATGGCGCCAACAGTTTTTGCTCAGCGCTTTACAATATAACGGGAGACAATACAGCAACAATACAGTTCAATACAAGAGGGATAGGAGGGCCCTGATCCTGGGAGCTTACAATCTAGGAGGGAGGGGCTAGTGGTACAAAAGGTAGTAACTGTGGGGGATGGACTGGTAGGAGGAATAGAAGATTCCATTATTAGCTGAGGGCAGGATAGGCTTCCCTGAAGAGATGGGTTTTCAGAGATCGCCTAAAAAGTGAGCAGAGTAGGTGATAGTCTGATAAATTGGGGTAGAGAGTTCCAGAGGATGGGGGAAGCTCTGGAGCAGTCCTGGAGACAAGCATGGGAGGAGGAGACAAGGGAGCTAGAGAGTAGGAGGTCGTGGGAGGAGCAGAGAGTACGGTTTGGGTGGTATTTGGAGACAAGATTGGTGATGTAATTTGGGGCGGAGTTATAAATGGCTTTATAACGATTTGTTAATGTTTTGAATTTTATCCGTTGGGCAAACTGGGAAGCCAGTGGAGGGATTGGGCAGGGGGGGTGGAGGACACTGAGGAGGCCAGTGGAGGGATTGGCAGAGAGGGATGGAGGACACTGAGTGGAGGGCCAGTGGACGGATTAGGCAGAGAGGGATGGAGGACACTGAGTGGAGGCCAGTGGAGGGATTGGCAGAGAGGGATGGAGGACATTGAGGGAGGCCAGTGGAGGGATGGAGGCAGAGAGGGTGGAGGCCAGGGAGGGATTGGCAGAGAGGGATGGAGGGCACTGAATGGAGCCAGTGGAGGATTCGCAGAGAGGGGTGGAGGACACTGAGTGGAGCCAGTGGAGGATTGGCAGAGAGGGATGGAGGGCACTGAGTGAGAGCCAGTGGAGGATTGGCAGAGAGGGGGTGGAGGACACTGAATGGAGGCCAGTGGAGGGATTGGCAGAGAGGGATGGAGGACACTGAGTGGAGGCCAGTGGAGGGATGGCAGAGAGGGGTGGAGGACACTGAATGGAGGGCCAGTGGAGGGATTGCAGAGAGGGGTGACTGATACAGAACGGTTAGTAAGGTGGATGAGTCTGGCAGCAGCATTCATGATAGACTGAAACGGGGATAGCCTGCGATGAGGTCAGCCAATGAGGAGGGAGTTACAGTAGTCGAGGCGGGATATAATAAGGGAGTGAATAAGTTGCTAGTGGTTTCCGAGGTTAGGAACGGGCGTATCTTGGAGATGTTGCGGAGGTGAAGTCTACAAAGTTTTGGACAGTGATTGGATTTGGGGGTGAAAGGACAGATGGGTAAGTCTAGGATTACACCTAGTACCCTGGCATGCGGGGAGGGACTGATGGTTCTATTATTGGTCTTGATGGAGAAGTCAGGGGAGGGGGCACGGGCTGGAGGGAATACTGAGAGCTCAGTATTGGAAAAAGATTGAGTTTGAGGAAGTGGAGTGACATCCAATGCCGATTTGTCACTTAGTAGGTTAGTAATGCGAGAGGAGACTGAAAGGGTGAGGTGAGGGGTAGAAAGATAGATTTGTGCCTTATAAAAAAAAAAAAAAAAACAACAACGAAGTATTAAAGCTGAACTCCAGGAATTCAGCTACTTTGTATAACATGCAGCCATACTATGAGTTTAGTCCAACAAGGTGCATGCCACCTCCTGGAGTTGTCTCTATTATTTACATCTGACAAGTTGCTGGAGCTCCTGGAAGGCAGCTATCGCTGTAGTTCCGTGAGATCCAAAACTGTATCTTCTGATCTCAGCTCCTACTGCAACAGAGTCCATGCAGCTCCTGTGCTGCCCCTTCCTCTCCTCCTGCCCAGTCACAGAAGCCTTTGTATTATGTGAACTCTCATTAATAAAATACAAAGGCTCTGTGAATGGGCAGCAGAAGGGAGGGTTGGGCATAACTTCTGCATGTGCTTCTCTCCTCTCAGGGCCCCAAGAGTGCAATAAACCTATCAGATGTACATAATAGAGATAAGTAGTCCAGGAGGTGGCATGCACCTCGTTGGACATAACTCATAGTATGCCAGCACATGTTACAAAGTGAAAGAATTTCTGGAATTCAGCTTTAAATATTTCTCTGCGTACGCTATATAATTATTTTCTCTCTTGTGATTCGTACATCATCATTATAAGCATTTTACACTTTCCTCTTTGTGTTGCATTCCCAGTTATTTTTTTTTTCTCTTATGTGCTGGTAATCTGTTTTTTATATTTCGCTCCCTGTAATACTATGCCCAGCAGACTGGGGCAGAGAGGCAGCAGTATGAGTTAGTCAGGGTGTATTGTGTTTGCAGTACACCGTGCTGTCTAACATTGCAGACATGCTTACAGGAGGGGAACAACAGACGCTACATCATTTGCATGCTGCTGCTTTTTCATTGCCCGGTCTGAAATTTGGGGGAGGCGTGGAGACTGAGCTTCAATTGCTTGTTTACTACGAGGGGCGTTCAAGTCAAACTAGGACTTTTGAGTTTATATATTAAAAGAGAGCAGAAATTTCAAGGGGTGGGAATTGCATTTATTTTTTGACATACTCCCCCTGCTACATTTATACACTTTCCCCTGTGTGCAACTAAAGCCTGGAAATCTTCGGCATAGAAAGGTTTGTCAGGACGCCTGAACCATCCTAGGACAGCCGGACTTCACTTCCTCATCATTGTGTTTTCGCCGTTCCCACAGAAAGATGTTCCCTTATGTATTATACATGGAGATCATATCCCCCATTATGTATTTATACATGGAGATCATATCCCCCCTTATGTATTATAACATGGAGATCATATCCCCCCTTATGTATTATACATGGAGATCATATCCCCCCCCTTATTGTATTATACATGGAGTTCATATCCCCCCTTATGTATTATACATGGAGATCATATCCCCCCCTTTATGTATTATACATGGAGATCATATCCCCCTTATGTATTATACATGGAGATCATATCCCCCCTTATGTATTATTTACATGGAGATCCTATCCCCCCTTATGTATTATACCATGGAGATCATATCCCCCCTTATGTATTATACATGGAGATCATATCCCCCCTTATGTATTATACATGGGTAGATTATATCCCCCCTTATGTATTATACATGGAGATCATATCCCCCCTTATGTATTATACATGGAGATCATATCCCCCACCTTATGTATGTATACATGGAGATCATATCCCCCCTTATGTATTATACATGGAGATCATATCCCCCCTTATGTATTATACATGGAGATCATATCCCCCCTTATGTATTATACATGGAGATCATATCCCCCCTTATGTATTATTACATGGAGATCATATCCCCCCTTATGTATTATACATGGTGATCATATCCCCCCTTATGTATTATAAAACATGGTGATCATATCCCCCCTTATGTATTATACATGGAGATCATATCCCCCCCTTATGTATTATACATGGAGATCATATCCCCCTTATGTATTACACATGGAGATTCATATCCCCCTTATGTATTATACGTGGAGATCATATCCCCCTTATGTATTATACATGGTGATCATATCCCCCCTTATGTATTATACGTGGAGATCATATCCCCCCTTATGTATTATACGTGGAGATCATATCCCCCCTTATGTATTATACATTGTGATCGTATCCCCCCTTATGTATTATACATGGAGATCATATCCCCCCTTATGTATTATACATGGAGATCGTATCCCCCCTTATGTATTATACATGGAGATCGTATCCCCCCTTATGTATTATACATGGAGATCGTATCCCCCCTTATGTATTATACATGGGATCATATCCCCCTTATGTATTGGGTTCCGGGATTGATACTGCTTGCAGAAGTCGCCTACTCAGCATTTGCTCTGTGTAGACCAAGAAGAGTCTTTGGTTGGATGTGACTGATAAGTTTGGGTCATTTCCCGTCTCAGAAATCGGTGGATTGAGGGTGATCCTGTCCTGGTCCCAGAATGTGTACATTGTCTTTGCTGAGATCTTTCTGTGGTGTTTTCTTTTTGCAGCTGCTGGTGGAGGAAAACCGCGGTGTAACTAGGTGGGTGACTGGTTGGCTTGGAGGAGGATCAGCCAAGAGTGTCCCCAACACCCCCCAAAGACCGACCCATTCATCCCTTCTAAACAGGGTAAGTGGGTCCATATAATGCGTTTTGATTGCTCAGAAAACTGCCGAGTTCCCTAGAGCTGAGGTTTTCATCTGCCTTCCCTCTTATCAACAAAATGGCGTTTTTTTCTATAAAAACTTTTCCATTTTTATTATATACATTAGTTTAGACACAGGGATGTCATCACTGGATCTCTGTGTTTCTCTATGCAGGGCAGGTGGATTGTGGCTGGTGGGAGGGACCAGCAGGACACTCACTGAAAAAAAAAGAAAAATCACAGCCTCAGTACTCCTCTCAAGAGCCCTCTGCTCTATTGCAGGCAATGGGCTGGCCCTTGGGAGGAGTTATGCAAATTTCAAAAAATGCCTCAATGGGTGGGTTGTCAGTGTGGAGGAGACGAAGCTCCATTGCATTCCCACGTGTGATGCCGAGCCTCCATGACTGGAAGAACTGAAATCCAATGAATGGAAGAGTAAGGCCTGGTTCACATCAATGCAGTTTGCTTTTGAATCGTTTTTGCATTTCGCGTTGCGTTTTTAACCACATTTCGTCTGGCCCAGGGGCAGACTGACAACTCATGGGGCCCCCGGGCAATAGGGGATCATGGGGCCCCTGTGTCCTTGCCCAAACTCAAAAAAGCCTAAGAAAAAGGTGCCAGGGGCATCTCATGGGGCCCTCTACTGACCCCGGGCCCTTGGGCTGTGCCCAAGTTTCCAAATGGTCAGTCCGCCCCTGGTCCCTCCCATGTCTATAAACGGCCGTACGGGAGCGCTGCCGGAGTGGGTGGATGTTTATAAACATCCCCACGGATCCATTGCCTGTGCGCGCTCCATGGGAGCCCGTTGTGTCTGAACGCAGATCGCTGTATGGGACCTCTGTGTGAGGTCCCGATTCATGTGATCGCTGATTGGCCAATCGGTGATCACATGATTAGTAGTAAGCAAGATATCACTTCCTGATACACTCCTGATATCATTGCTTACTGCGTGTGAAATCTGTGAACGATCACAGAGATCACATGGTACAGGGCTTTCACAACAGCCTTCTACCATGTGACAAGAAGTGACCAATCACAGCTCACACAGTGTTTCTCAATGGCTGCAAGAATGCAGCCAGAGAGAAGGAGAAATGATTGCTTTTACAGCCTTTATGGGTGTTAAAGCAATCAGTGTAAAAACAAAAAAAAAATCTTCATCACCCCGACAAGTAGTACAGTGTCACCATGGTGACACTATACTGCTAGGGTGACAGTAGGTTAAAAAAATAAAAATAAACACATATTAATATATAAAAAAAGTAAATGTAAACATTTTTTTTAAAATGATAATTTTTGGTTATAAACTAATTTGGGTTATTTTTTTTTTTTACTAAAAAGATAGATGAATACATTTTGGTCCAGATTTATGAAGAAAGATGATTTATTTGCAAAATTTTAATAAGAAAAACACTTTTTTTTTCAAAATTATTGGACTTTTTCATTTATATAGCAAAAAAATAAAAGTCCCAGTGGTGAATAAATACCACCAAAATAAAGCTTTATCTGTCTTAAAAAATGCTAAACAATTCATATGGGTACAGTGTAGCATGACCGCGCAAATGTCATTCAAAGTGTGATAGCGCTGAAAGCTGAAAATTGGCCTGACAGAAGGGGGTGAAAGTGTCCGGACTGGAAGGGGGTGAAAGTGTCCGGACTGGAAGGGGGTGAAAGTGTGTTAGCCGACAGGAAGGGGGGAAAGTGTCCGGACCGAAGGGGGTGAAAGTGTCCGGACCGGAAGGGGGTGAAAGTGTCCGGACCGGAAGGGGGGGTGAAAAGTTGTCCGGACCGAAGGTGGGGAAAGTGTCCGGACCGGAAGGGGGGGAAAGTGTCCCGGACCGGAAGGGGGGAAAGTGTCCGGACCGGAAGGGGGGGGAAAGTGTCCGGACCGGAAGGGGGGAAAGTGGTCCGGACCGGAAGGGGGGGAAAAAGTGTCCGGACTGGAAAGGGTGGGATGAAAGTGACCTGGACAGGAAGGGGGTGAAAGTGTCCGGACTGGAAGGGGGTGAAAGTGGTCCGGAGGAATGGGGGGGGGGAGATGTCCGGACTGGAAGGGGGAAAGGGGGGGAAATTTAGCGTCCTGAAAATTGTCCGGAACTGGAAGGGGGGGGGTGAAAGAGTCCCGACTGGAAGGGGGGGGGGAAAGTGTCCGGACTGGAAGGGGGGGGGGGAAAGGGGGGGTGCGTCCGGACTGGAAGGGGGGGAAATGAAAGCTGTGTCCATGGGGTGGAAAGCGTCCGGACGTCCCGGACAGAAGGGGGGAAAAGTGTCCCGGAAGGGGGGGAAAGTGTCCGGACCGGAAGGGGGGTGAAAGTGTCCGGACCGGAAGGGGGTGGAAAGTGTTCCGGACCGAAGGGGGGGAAAGTGTCCGGACCGGAAGGGGGGGAAAGTGTCCGGACCGGTCCGGACTGGAAATGGGGGAAAGTGTCGGTTAAGGGGGGGAAAGTGTCCGGACCGGAAGGGGGGTGAAAGTGTCCGGACAGGAAGGGGGGTGAAAGTGTCAGGACTGGAAGGGGGTGTAATTATGCAGAGAGAAAGTGTCCGGACTTGGAAATGGGGGGGGGGTGTGAGTGGTCCGGACTGGAAGGGGGGGAAAGTGTCCGGACTGGAAGGGGGGGGGAAAGCTGTCCGGACTGGAAGGGGGGGGGAAAAGTGTCCGGACTGAAGGGGGGGAAAGCGTCCGGACTGGAAAGGGGGGGGGAAAGCGTTTGGACTGGAAGGGGGGGGAAAGCGTCCGGACTGGAAGGGGGGGGGGATAAGTTGTCGCGTCCGGACTGGAAGGGGGGGGAAAGGGAAACTGGAAGGGGGGGGGAAAGCGTCCGGACTGGAAGGGGGGGGAAAGGTCCGGACTGGAAGGGGGGGGGAAGGAAAGCGTCCGGAGAACCCAAAGCGTCCGGACTGTAAATGGTTAAAAACGTACATTTTTGTCGCCTTTTGTGGGGATTTTTCAGCGGGTTTTTTTTAATTTTTGGTAAAAAAGGGAAATGTTTTTGTTGCTGGAAAAAATAAGAACCCAAAGCACAGCAAACACTCACTACGCGTGTTTCAGCAGCTTCTCCATTGAACTCCATTGAGCAAAAATGCTGCCTTTTGCGTTTAAAAAAAGTCCCTGACCCTTTCCAATCACGCAGCAGCTCAAAAAAGCATCAATCTGAACGTGTCCCATAGGAAACCATGTTAAATGGACTGTCATGCGTTTCTGCAAAAAGTATTGGTGTGAACCAGGAATGGCCAGGCTGTGGAGGAAAGACCTAGATGGTGCTGGACGTCCCCAGCCAAAAAATAAGGCGGGCTCTATGTGACTTTTTTTTGTCTCTGCTACGCACTGCTGTAGAGGGATTGGCACAATATGTCGCTGGGTAGCATTTATTGTGTCATCTAGAAATTGAGCAAAAAAAAATTTGTTTTTTTATGGGTTTTTTTTTTTTTTAACTATATAGCAGATCTTTTTACTCTGAATTTTAGATTTTTTTTCTTCTTTAAAAAAAATGATTTAAAGTTTATTTTAAACAACTTTTGTATTCCCGCTGCAGTCATTTTCAGAGTTGTTTGTCAATTTCCTGGAGACGGAATCCCTGCCGAAACCCCCTCCCCCCAGGCTGACGATGCAGGACATAACACCCCTGGGCACTTCCAGCGGGACTCAGAGCACCAGCGGGTCTGCGGCGCTTCCAGGTAAGTAGACGCGTTTCGGGGAGGCACAAGGATAACAACTGGACTTCTGCTGGGCTGAAGAAAAGTGCAGTCACTAGAGAGCAGGAAGCGGAGTCTGCCTGTGTAATATGCAGAGAGGGATGTTGATGGGGATTTATAATAAAGATTATATACAGGCAAATCCTAAATATAAATCATGTATGTGTCAGACTTTACTTGTATGTATGAGCAAGTTACAGATCCTAGACTTCATTACAGCTACTTTTCACATTGCTCTGTATGAAATACACAGAAAAAATGCACATGCGTTGCCACATTTGTGATGCATTTGTGTTGCGTTTTCCCCGTGTCACTTCCTACTAGTCTGCTAAATGCGATTTTTGTGCCATTTCCAGTGCAAGTATGCACTGTGCTTGCGACTATAGATAAGAACATTCCTATGAAACTTTGATGGATGATGGGGGTTTTTTTAACCCTCACCTTTCCTCCCTGGTCATCCTTGCTGCCTAAGGCTAGGTTCATATTGAAGTGGTTTTGATCCTTCCATCGATCCGTCCTTCCATCGATCCGTCCTTCCACTGATCCGTCCTTCCACTGATCCGTCCTTCCACTGATCCGTCCTTCCACCGATCCGTCCTTCCACCGATCCGTCCTTCCACCGATCCGTCCTTCCACCGATCCGTCCTTCCTTCCATCGATCTCCTTCCTTCCATCGATCTCTCCTTCCTTCCATCGATCTCTCCTTCCTTCCATCGATCTCTCCTTCCTTCCATCGATCTCTCCTTCCTTCCTTCGATCAATTGATCTTTTCTTCCTTCGATCCTTCCTTCCTTCCTCTTTTCCTTCCTTTTGATTTTTCCTTCCTTCTTTGATTGTTCCTTCCTTCCTTTGATTTTTCCTTCCTTCCTTTGATTGACCCTTCCTTCCTTTGATTGACCCTTCCTTCCTTTGATTGACCCTTCCTTCCTTCGATTGACCCTCCTTCCTTTGATTGACCCTTCCTTCCTTCGATTGACCCTTCCTTCCTTCGATTGACCCTTCCTTCCTTCGATTGACCCTTCCTTCCTTCGATTGACCCTTCCTTCCTTCGATTGACCCTTCCTTCCTTCGATTGACCCTTCCTTCCTTCGATTGACCCTTCCTTCCTTCGATTGACCCTTCCTTCCTTCGATTGACCCTTCCTTCCTTCGATTGACCCTTCCCTTTCCTTCGATTGACCCTTCCTTCCTTTTCGATTGATCCTTCCTTTCATCCTTCCTTCCATTGATTGTTCCTTCCTTCCTTTGATTGATCCTTCCTTCCTTGATTGGTCGTTCCTTCCTTCGATTGATCCTTCCTTCCTTCGATTGATCCTTCATTTGATCCTTCCTTCGATTGATCCTTCCTTTCTTCCTTCCTTCCTTCGATTGATCCTTCCCCTTCCTTCGATTGATCCTTTCTTCCCTTCTTCCTTTGATCCTCCCTCCCTTCGATTGATCCTTCCTTCCTTCGATTGATCCTTCCTTCCTTCGATTGATCCTTCCTTCCTTTTGAGTGATCCTTCCTTTCTTTCCTTTGATCCTTCATTGATTGATCCTTTCTTTCTTCCATTGATTGATCCTTCTTTTCATCCATTGATTGATCCTTCCTTTCTTCCTTCGATTGATCCTTTTTTCCTTCCTTCCTTCCTTCATTTGACCCTTCTTTCCTTCGATTGGCCCTTTCTTCATTCGATCGATCTTTCCTTTGATCGAGTGAAGGAAGGACCGAGTGAGCAAGCCAAGAAAGGACACAAGCAATGTTCCAGAATCGCAGCTGTAATCAAATTGATGGATAAAGGATGACCAGGGAGGAGAAGTGAGGGTTAAAAAAAAAAAACGACCCATCAAAGTTGCATAGGAATACTCCTATGCTGATTCGACTTCTGTGCGATAACATAGAAGTCTGTGGGGCTGAAATCACACTGAAGTCCACCAGGAACCTTTTCAAATATCGTACAGTGCTAAGTCCTATTGATTAGAAGGGCACCATAATGTGATTTCCCTTGTCATGCGATTCTGTGGACCTGGGCTTGAGCATTTCCCACAGGTGCATTGCGGTTTTGATGCGGTTTCCATTCATTTCAATGGAGAGATGCATTTTTCACTGGCCACTACTCAGTCTTTTTTTCCAAGGTGGGGGAGTGGAGACTCATTATGATGTTCGAGGGCTTCTGCTGGTGTCACATCAAAAAGGTGCCCTTTTGTTGCATGGAAATAGCTATACATAGCAGGGTAGGGGGTGTGTCCCCACTGGTGGACAAGAAGGGGACATGTCCCCATGGATGGATGAGAGGGGTGTGTGTCCTCAATCGTGAACGAGGATGGGGGTGTGTCCTCAATCGTGAATGAGGATGGGGGCGTGTCCATGCTGGACTACAAAGATGGGGCGTGTCCATACTGGACTACAAAGATGGGGGCGTGTCCATACTGGACTACAAAGATGGGGGCGTGTCCATACTGGACTACAAAGATGGGGGCGTGTCCATACTGGACTACGAGGATGAGGGCGTGTCTCCACTGGGGGGCGAGGATGGGGGCATGTCTCCACTGGAGGACAAGGATGGGGGCGTGTCCCCACTGGAGGACAAGGATGGGGGCGTGTCCCCACTGGAGGACAAGGATGGGGGCGTGTCCCCACTGGGGGACAAGGATGGGGGCGTGTCCCCACTGGGGGACAAGGGTAGGGGCGTGTCCCCACTGGGGGACAAGGGTAGGGGGACAAGGGGCGTGTCCCCACTGGGGGACAAGGGTAGGGGCATGTCTCGACTGGGGAATGAGGGTGGGTAAGTGGCTCGACTGGGGAACGAGGGTGGGGGGAGGTGTGTCCCCACTGGGGAACGAGGGTGGGGGTGTGTCCCCACTGTGGGTGGGGGTGTGTCCCCACTGGACGATGAGGGTGGAGGCGCGTCTCCACTGGGGGATGAGGGTGTTGGCACGTCCCCACTGGGGGGGATGAGGGTGAAGCGTGTTACCACTAGGGATCGAGGGGGGGAGCGTGGGGAGGGGGTCCCCACTGGGGGCACAAGGATGGGCATGTCCCCACTGGGGGACAAAGGGGGGGAAGCGTGTCCCCATTGGTGGACGAGGTGTGTGTGTGGGGGGGGGGTGTCCCCAATGGTGTACAAGGTGTGTGTGGGGGGGGGGACGTGTCCCCAATGGTGGATGAGGTGTGTGTAGGGGGGCGTGTCCCCAATGGTGGATGAGGTGTGGGGGGGGGCGTGTCCCCAATGGTGGACAAGGTGTGGGGGGGCGTGTCCCCAATGGTAGACAAGGTGTGTATGTGGGGGGGGCGTGTCCCCAATGGTGGACAAGGTGTGTGTGTGGGGGGGCGTGTCCCCAATGGTGGACAAGGTGTGTGTGGGGGGGGGCGTGTCCCCAATGGTGGACAAGGGGAGGAGGAAAGCATAGTATTCTATAGCAGTCATGCATGCTTCTCAGCAGGTGACGCCTCCTTTGTTTTCCTTTTGCTGCTGATGTCTTGCAGCCTCTTTGTAGCTACTTCTAGTCTCCATCGGAAGTCCTGTGACAGGGTGACAACACAGGAGCGCGGCTCAGCGACAGGGACAGAGCATTGTTGCCCTGTAACAGGAAGTGCCTGATCCGGGACCTTCATGGCAGGATCACCAGTGATTATTTTAGGGAAAGCTGCAAACTTTAAAAGGTTGTTTTCTAAATCCTGTTCCAGCTTCTAGGAGATTGTAGCCATCGGGTTTCCGTCTCCCTGGAGGGAATAGCAGCCAGGAGACCTTTCCTGTAGATGTATGCGGAATGGCAGAGCAGACATGACGGAACGCTAATCAGTATATTTATCATGTGGATGAGACACAATAATGTATCCGAGCAGCATTACCGCCCCATCCCGGCTGATTTATAGATCATCTCCCCAGCAAGTAACCCCCCCACCCCCACCGTCAGATGGAGAGCAGGCCCCAGTAATTGCTTCCAGAGTGTAGAAGCCACAAGAGATCTTCATTCCCCGACATGACAGGGAAAACCCAAATCTCTGCAGAGCATCTCGTATATCTTCTTGTTTTAATAGTTAAATGGATATTCCAACCAGGGAGGATATTTGGGATTTGAATGCCGTATGGAGGGCCGTGTCCACCTGCCGCCTGCCGCACTCAAAGTTCTTACCGGTCCTCCTTGGACTTTTATTATTTTTCATTTTGGTCTATCGGCGTCCCCCCTTGTAATTCAATCTGGGGTTCTGGGAGGCCCCAGTGTACAGCATGCGATTCTGCTGATCGATTTTTCCGTCTCTTACTCTGTCTCTTTCTCTGTTTCTGATCGATTTTCCTCTCTCTGTTTCTGATCGATTTTCCTCTCTTACTCTGTTTTCCTCTCTCTGATCGATTTTCCTCTCTCTTTCTCTTTTCCTCTCTTGTTTCTGATCGATTTTCCGCTCTCTCGGTTTCTGATCGATTTTCCTCTCTCTGTTTCTGATCGATTTTCCTCTCTGTTTCTGGTCGATTTTCCTCTCTCTGTTTCTGATCGATTTTCCTCTCTCTGTTTCTGGTCGATTTTCCTCTCTCTGTTTCTGATTGATTTTCCTCTCTCTGTTTCTGGTCGATTTTCCTCTCTCTTTCTGTTTCTGGTCGATTTTCCTCTTTCTCTGTTTCTGGTCGATTTTCCTCTCTCTCTGTTTCTGGTCGATTTTCCTCTCTCTTCTCTGTTTCTGATTGATTTTCCTCTCTCTTTCTCTGTTTCTGATCGATTTTCCTCTCTCTGTTTCTGATCGATTTTCCTCTCTCTTTCTCTGTTTCTGATCGATTTTCCTGTCTCTTTCTCTGTTTCTGAACGATTTTCCTGTCTCTTTCTCTGTTTATGGTTTCTTCTTTTTTTTCTTCTTCTGTGGAAGGGGGATGGGGGGGATAAGTCCAGGTAAATGATTTTAACACGTTCCCACCCGGCCTATAGCAGCTTGACGGCCAGGCGGGACACTCGCCGTTGTGACTGGGCGTCATATGACGTCCTGTCAAAACAAGCCACGCAGCTGCGCGATCTGTCACCGGCTGTGTCCACGGGACACAGCTGATGACCTATAACTACACTGGCCCGTTGCCGGTGTCATGTGACCGCTGTGACCAATCACAGCAGATCACATGTCAATTGTATACAGTGGATGGCTTCCTGTCACGCCATCCATTGTATACAATTATGTTGTTATTATTATACAGGATTTATATGGCGTCAACAGTTTGCTCAACGCTTTACAGTATAAATATTGTACAATATAATTATGTTAGCTGTGATTAGTCAAGGCAGTCACATGATACAGACAGGGCCAATCACAGCCCATCTGTATCATGTGATCAGCTTTGCCCAATCACAGCTAATCACAACAAAAGACTGAATTAATCCGTTTCGTTCCGTAACAATGATTACAGATATCAATGAAAGACATCGGTATTAGCAATCCTAATGTGTAAAAAGAAAAAAAAAAATCCCGATCACTTGCCCAGAGTAGTTCAATGTTACTATGGTAACCTTGTGTTGCTTTGGTCACGGTGCGCTGAAAAATAAAATCGTAAAAAAAAAAAAAGAAAAAATTTAATAAAAAAATAAAAAAAAGTAATAGAAACATTTGATTTAATACAAATTCCATTATTATTATTTTCACCAAAGAAATGTAGCAGAATACATTTTGACATAAATTTATGAAGAAATTGTATTTATTTGCAAACTTTTATAACAGAAACTGGGAAAAGTTTCGGGTGTTTTTTGTATTATTTAGCAAAAAATAAAAAAAACTCGGTGATTAAATACCACCAAAATGAGCTCTATTTGTGTGAACAAAATGATAAAATTTGAGTTTGGGTACAGTGTTGCATGACCGCGCAATTGTCATTCAAAGTGCAACAGAGATGAAAGCTGGAAATTGTCCTGGGCAGGAAGGGGGTAGAAGTGCCGGTATTGAAGTGGTTCAAGTCCTCAGTTTGTCGTGTCCCTCTCAGTCTGTGGCATGCGGTCACATATTGTGCAGCTATTTTCACCATTGACTCCTCTTCTCCCGGTAGAATTGGAAGTTTCTTCTTCACTTCCATAAAAGTGAAGTCCGGGATGAGAGCGGAGAGTCTCGTCACTCACTGATGAGTACTTGGGGCACTGTAGCAGGAAGCGGTCCTCGTCCTCCAGGACCTCCCTGGTCACACTGTAGCAGGAAGCGGTCCTCGTCCTCCAGGACCTCCTGGTCACACTGTAGCAGGAAGCGGTCCTTGTCCTCCAGGACCTCCTGGTTACACTGTAGCAGGAAGCGGTCCTCGTCCTCCAGGACCTCCTGGTCACACTGTAGAAGCAGGAAGCGGTCCCCGTCCTCCAGGACCTCCTGGTCACACTGTGGCAGGAAGCGGTCCCCTCGTCATCCAGGACCTCCTGGTCACACTGTGGCAGGAAGCGGTCCTCATATAAATAATATGCTTAGTGATAATAATAAATAATAAATAATATTCTTATTCCCCCAAAATTACAACCAAAAAGTCCTGTATCCACAAATCCAAAAAATTAAAGTCCCCTTCAAACAAAAATTATGTCCAAAAATATTGTCCAAAAATAGTGATAGATTCTTCAAAGTTTTGTGAACTTGATTTTACCTCAAAAAACAGAAATAAAAAACCACATAGTGCATTATCCTTAATATAAAATATCATATAACTCATCCAGTGATAATTCACCAAAGTGAAAAACGTGTAAACAGCAAAGATGTGCCAATACACTATTTATAGTGAAAAACTGTGTAGGTGAATCACTCTTTATAGTGCTTATGCCACACATGGGCACGAACACCTAAATCACATCTACTGCAGTAAGGAGTGGATACCCTTACCAATGTGTTTATCATTAAAGGCTTTAGATAAAACATCCCCAAGTAGGTTGTATGATGGGACGAGTAAACGAATAATATTCTGCCAGTATCCTCACTTTCACCTCCTCATAATTCAATGTGGATCCATCCACACTATTTCCTCAGACCATTTTCATCACAAACCGCCATCCCGATAACGATATATATATACACACATAAAGAAGTATATAGTGTAATACCGCCACACATTCGATTCACAAATTTTATTGGTGCTGCTTACAATATCAAATCTTTCTCATCGCATGTTTAAAAGTATGAAAAACCTGCATGCCGTACGTCCAGGAGAGTAATCATAAATCATTATGATTACGTCCAATGACGAAACGCGTCAGAGGGAGGTGACGTCAGAAACGCAAACGAGAAACCGGAAGTGGAGCGGCGGCCATTGCAGAGAGTGGAAGTAAGACTGTGGATAGCGGTTTTTTGGACTCTCCTGGACGTACGGCATGCAGGTTTTTCATACTTTTAAACATGCGATGAGAAAGATTTGATATTGTAAGCAGCACCAATAAAATTTGTGAATCGAATGTGTGGCGGTATTACACTAATTAACTTCTTTATGTGTGTATATATATATCGTTATCGGGATGGCGGTTGTGATGAAAATGGTCTGAGGAAATAGTGTGGATGGATCCACATTGAATTATGAGGAGGTTGAAAGTGAGGATACTGGCAGAATATTATTCGTTTACTCGTCCCATCATACAACCTACTTGGGGATGTTTATCTAAAGCCTTTAATGATAAACACATTGGTAAGGGTATCCACTCCTTACTGCAGTAGATGTTGATTTAGGTGTGGGGCATAAGCACTATAAAGAGTGATTCACCTACACAGTTTTTCACTATAAATAGTGTATTGGCACATCTTTGCTGTTTACACGTTTTTCACTTTGGTGAATTATCACTGGATGAGTTATATGATATTTATATATTAAGGATAATGCACTATGTGGTTTTTATTTCTGTTTTTTTGAGGTAAAATCAAGTTCACAAAACTTTGAAGAATCTATCACTATTTTTGGACAATATTTTTGGACATAATTTTTGTTTGAAGGGACTTTAATTTTGGATTTGTGGATACAGGACTTTTTGGTTGTAATTTTGGGGAATAAGAATATTTATTTATTATTTATTATTATCACTAAGCATATTATTTATATGGTGTACACCTCTAAGGGTAGGGGTGAAGTGTGCTGACACGGGTTATTTTGGGTAGAGTGATTTATTATTAATAGGAAGCGGTCCTCGTCCTCCAGGACCTCCTGGTCACACTGTGGCAGGAAGCGGCCCTCGTCCTCCAGGACCTCTTGGTCACATTGTAGCAGGAAGCGGCCCTCGTCCTCCAGGACCTCTTGGTCACATTGTAGCAGGAAGCGGCCCTCGTCCTCCAAGACCTCCTGGTCACATTGTAGCAGGAAGCGGCCCTCGTCCTCCAGACCTCCTGGTCACACTGTAGCAGGAAGCGGCCCTCGTCCTTCAGGACCTCCTGGTCCATTGTAGCAGGAAGCGGTCCTCGTCCTCCAGGACCTCTTGGTCACATTGTAGCAGAAGCGGCCCTCGTCCTCCAGGACCTCCTGGTCACAACTGTAGCAGGAAGCGGCCCTCGTCCTTCAGGACCTCCTGGTCACATTGTAGCAGGAAGCGGCCCTCGTCCTCCAGGACCTCTTGGTCACATTGTAGCAGGAAGCGGCCCTCGTCCTCCAGGACCTCCTGGTCACACTGTAGCAGGAAAGCGGCCCTCGTCCTCCAGGACCTCCTGGTCACATTGTAGCAGGAAGCGGGCCCTCGTCCTCCAGGACCTCCTGGTCACACTGTAGCAGGAAGCGGCTCTCGTCCTCCTTTAAAAAAAAAATCTGAAGAATATATTTAAAAAATACATATTTTTAAAATATATTTTTCATATATTATATGTAATGAAAATGCATTTTCAACATGCAGTGTGTGTATATATGTGTGTATATATATATATATATATGTATATATATATATTATAGAAATATATTGAATACGGCCAAAATTTTAGCATTTCAAATATATGTCAATATATTTGGGAAGAAATATTTTTAAAATATATTTCAAATATATTTTCTTTCCATGTGGGGAGCCAGTCAGTTCATGTGCTGACAAGAACCATGCTAATAGAAGGAAAGCGCAACAGAGCGACGAGCTCATCACTGTGCTGCTTCTCCTTTCACTGTGCAATCACAGGTTGGGGGATGGTCCGGGATAACCTGGGCTCAGAGTAAGTTGATTGAATGATGCTGACCATCAGACTGAGGACATCTACCTGCAGGAAAAGGTACTGCAGGGGAAATCTCTGGACTGAATGTAAACATTGAGGCAAAAGCTGTTTTTTCTTTTTACTCGTTGAATGGGCTGTTCATTTTTATGGTATTTCAGGCCTTCTGTTTTATGCATTTTATGGGGCCGTGCTTATTTCTTTTATTTTATTCCTTTTTTTGTGTTCTCTCTATTTTTAAGGTTCTGGATCCAGTCGAAGGCAGGAATCGAACCCCTTCTTGGCTCCTCGTTCGGCTGCCATCCCCCTCATCTCCCCGGCATCCCTGGGAGGGGGCACCTCAGGGCACCTTCTCATGAAGCCCATCTCGGACGCCCTGCCCACCTTCACCCCCCTGCCCGTCTCCTCAGATGCCAGCGCCGGAGCGGTACTGAAGGACCTCTTGAAGCAATAACCCGGTGTGGACCCACCGCAGGGCATTGTAGCACTTTATAATGAAGATACACTATTGTACATACCAGCCAAAGAGGCCTTTTGTATAATCCATAGCTTTATTTAAACAGAACTGTTTGTCTCCCCCCCCCCCCAACTGCCATCACAGAGCTCCAATTTAAACTTGACAAACAATACTGTATGTGAATAGTGAGCGTGATTTGTGATTGGACGCTTGGAACGGGGACTTGGATCTGGGAGGTGACCTTGAACACTTCCCGGCTTTATATATTGTACAGGCAGATTCTTACCTTTATTTTATGTACAAATCAGCACACGGTTGTCGTGCTCCAGAGGGCGTGGCGGGCCGTTGTATGTTCTGGGGGGGGGGGGGGGAATCCCCTTCTTCTGCCAAATATCTGCACTGGTCAGTGTTCTCATCCTGAGCCAAGGGAGCTGCGAGCTGCTGTAAGGGTGCAGAATATGGAGCAGACTCGCCTTGGGGTGGGGGGGGGTGGTTATGGTATCTAGAAAGTAGGATGCAGCGTGAACAATTGCTGCTTTTCTGGGCTGCTGTTAAAATTGTGGGGCCCCACCTGAGAGCCCCCCGGGGAACATAATATGGTATCTAGAAAGTAGGACACAACATGAAGAATTGCTGCTTTCCAGAGCCATTGTACAAATCATGGGCTTCCCCCCCAACGGAAATGCAGATTTTTGCGCATCTGCGCCAGTTTCCTCCTGCCTGACAGTGCAGTGCGGCTTTAGAAGGTCGCTATTCCTCCCCACCCATCCTCAGCAAATGCTCCGCAGCCTGAGCGCTTCCTTCCACCTTGGTGGCTGTGGGATGGAGAGCTGGCATGGATGTGCCACCCTTGGCAAACAGGAGTCCCTGAAGGGGGCTGTTGGGGCTGCACTGGGTCCCCCTGCTGGGCCCGGTACAGGGGTACTAACTTTACCCTCCCCCCCCCTCCCCCCATCAGTAGCCCTGCTCCTGTTCACTGCTGAGCATATACACTCAGTATTATCAGCAGGTGCTTCCTCTGCATTCACTGTGAGGAGCATTGCTAAACTATTGTCAGACAGGTCTAACAAAGCCTGCCGAGGGGTTACCATTGTGGTGGAGATGTGTGTGTTATGCCGGCCATAGACGGGTCAAAAATCGGCCGATTTTCGCACCATTAGTGGGTTAATTGGTCGGCCCGTTTTTTCGAGGTTTTGGCACATTTTTTTTTTATCGGTCAAGTTGTAAAATTTGCAGCCGATTTTGATGATCGGCCGATTTTCCCGACAATGTTGGGCAGATCGGCCAAACGTTTTACCGATAAATAATCTGCACATGAGCCGTGACCTGCAAGAAGAAGAAGAATTCCAGTCCGCTATTATATTTTATATGAAAAGTCTTGCGGTTGCAACAATGTATCCATTTGTATCCAAATAAAAACATCTGTATCCGAAATGGATACAAATGGATACAAATAGATACAAATGGATACACATGGCTGCAAATGGATACACATGGCTGCAAATGGATACACATGGCTACAAATGGATACACATGGCTGCAAATGGATACACATGGCTGCAAATGGATACACATGGCTACAAATGGATACACATGGCTACAAATGGATACACATGGCTACAAATAGATACAAATGGATACACATGGCTACAAATGGATACATTGTTGCAACCGCAAGACTTTCATGTCAAATATAATAGCGGAGCTCTCTGCAGGGACAGAAGTAATTAAATGCCGGCCATAGACGGGAGGAAAATCGGCCGATTTTTTTTTACCGTTGGTGGTAACGTCGGCCGATCGAACGACCGACCGATTTTTCGTTTTTTTTTTTATTAAAAAAAAAAAAGTCTGGTTTTTGACCCATCTATGGCCGGCATTACTCAGCAGTGCCCACGTAATGACCTCTAGAACAGTCCTCCACACCTGTCATCCCACTGCCAGCAATGATCCTTTGTAACAGTCCCGGGACCCGCAGCAACCAGCAGCTCAAGAATCCGATTTTCTGCAGCTTGTTCATTCTGAGTTTCTTTCTTTTCTGTTATGTTTTGGAAAATGCACTATTGCTCTACGATATGGCTACAAAAATCTTCTTGTATGTATACTTTGTATCCACGCCTGCTGTTACTCCGACACCACAGGGGTCCAGTTATCATTTTATCACACAACGTTCTTGTAGTTTTCTAAAAGGATTCCTTTGAGAAAAGTGTAAGAATTGGGTGAAAGTTGCGTGAAACTTGTATTAAAAAAAAAAAAAAAAAAAAAAAAGAGACCGCTAAGCGTCGGATAAAATCTCAAATTTAAATGATATTGATCAGCCCTTCGTCCTCATTTTACAGCGGCTGTTTTTGGCTATTGGCGTTTTTTTTTTTACAGCCAGTAAACCCCCCAGCATGTTATCCTAGGTGTCCACACACACACAGACTGGAATTGGCATTTTTTGGCTGGAAAAAAAAAAATAGCAGAACTGGCGGGTTTACTAAAAAAAAAAAACAGAACTGGCGGGTTACTAGAGATTTTTAGCTGTAAAAACACTCTAATGCTGAAAAACGCAGTAAAACGTGGCAAACCGGCGGTTTTGGACTTTTTTTGATTAAGAAGCACAAAAAATTCAAACGCGGCTAAACACTAATGCAGGAACTCTACAAAAAAAAAAAAAAAAAAAGGAAGAAAAAACTTGCGTTGTTAATGTGACTTTACACAGCCAACGCTACCAGCGTTATTAAAATGCCCCCCCCCCCCAGTGTGCATGGAGATGGTATCCGTGGAAAGCTGTATTCAATTCAATGGGGGGGGTTTCTAAGGCTCCATGCACACGGGGTGTTTTGATAACGCTGGTAACGTTAGCTGTGTAAAATCACGTTAAAAACGCTTTTTCTTTTTTAAAGCGTTTTTTTGCATTGCCGTTTTTTCCGCGTTTGCATTTTTAGCATTTTTTTTTTTTGCCAAGTAAAAATTTGTTTTTGTTTTTTTTGCCAAAAACTTTTTTTACCAAATTTTTTTTTCTTTTTTTTTGTTCAAAAAACGTCCAAAAATGCCAGTTTGTGGCGTTTTACTGCGTTTTCAGTTTTAGTTTTTTTACAGCTAAAAAACTCCTCTAGAAGCCCGTTAGTCCTGGGCTTTCTTTCCCCCACCTGAAAACGTCACTGCCAAAAAAAAAACGTTGATTCCAGTCTGTGTGTATGGACACCTAGGAGAACATGCTGGGGGGGTTTACTGGATGTAGGAAAAAAAAAAAAAAACCTCCAAAAGCAGCTGCTGTAAAAAAGTTCCATGTGCAGGAGGACTAAAACTGAAGCTGATTGGCTCCCCATTAACCGCTGCACCATGCAGTTTTAGTAAATAACCCCATCCCCCCCCCAACACATTGATTTTTTTTTCTTTTTGCCACTAAGGTCCACTATTCTGGCCTCTTATTAGAATGGACTTTCCCATTCAGCAGCCAATGACTGGTCCTGGATGAGGCGACGCGCTGAAAAAACATTATACTACCCAAACTGTTATGAGCAATAAAAAGAATTAATAAGGAAAAAAAATGAAATATATCTGCTACCCGGAGGAGTGAAATGGTATAAATACAGATTGTTTGTCTGTTACTGAGAGATATCCTCGTCTATGTGCAGCCAATCGGATATCCTGGGGTGCAAGTTGCAGCAGAAGCAATGGACATGCGAGTCGCTGTGGTCTGGGATAGCGCCGCTCATCATCGCCTCCCGGAGGGGTGGTTGTATGAAAGGATACGTTCACCCTCGGGAAATGTTCCGTGCGTTCTTAGGGTGGAACATGTAACGTTCCCAATGCTGCAGCCGCTGATCCCCCCGCCCCCCCCCCCCCCCCCCCCCCCCCCCCCCCCCCCCCCCCCCCCCGTGTGACAGAAGTTCTCCATACAAGCTGTCACTGTTTTTTAAACAAAAGCGAAGCCGTACTGGGCTCCGCCCACATGGCCGCATCATTAGTCGCTGTCAGCTTGTAGTTCTCAATGAATCTTCCTGTAAGTATGTCTGCTTGCCTGTACATCCCGTATACCCCCATACATCCCGTATACCCCCATACATCCCATATACCCCCATACATCCCATATACCCCCATACATCCCGTATACCCCCATACATCCCGTATACCCCCATACATCCCGTATACCCCATACATCCCTTATACCCCATACATCCCATATACCCCGTACACTCCGAACATCCCGTATACCCCATACATCCCATATACCCCATACATCCCATATACCCCCATACATCCCATATACCCCATACATCCCGTATACCCCATACATCCCGTATGCCCCGTACACTCCGAACATCCCGTACACCCCATACATCCCGTATACCCCATACATCCCGTATACCCCCATACATCCCGTATACCCCATACATCCCATATACCCCATACATCCCATATACCCCATACATCCCGTATGCCCCGTACACTCCGAACATCCCGTACATCCCGTATGCCCCGTACACTCCGAACATCCCGTACACCCCATACATCCCATATACCCCATACATCCCGTATGCCCCGTACACCCCATACATCCCATATACCCCATACATCCCGTACACCCCATACATCCCGTATACCCCATACATCCCCTACATCTCGTACACCCCATACATCCCATATACCCCGTACATCCCGTACACCCCATACATCCCATATACCCCATACATCCCATACACCCCATACATCCTGTACACCCCATATATCCCGTATACCCCATACATCCCGTACACCCCATACATCCCGTATACCCCATACATCCCGTACACCCCATACATCCCATGTACCCCATACATCCCGTATACCCCCCTACATCCCGTATACCCCATAAATACTGTACATCCTGTACACCCCATACATCCCGTATAGCCCGTACATCCCGTATACCCCATATATCCCGTATACCCCATACATCCTGTATACCCCATACATCCCGTATACACCCTGTACATCACGTATATCCCATACACCCCATACATCCTGTACACCCCATACATATACCGTACATCCTGTACACCCCATACATCCCGTATAGCCCGTACATCTCATATACCCAGTACATCCCATACATACTGTACATCCCATACATTCCGTATACCCTATACATCCCATACATCTTGTAAATCTCGTACACCCCATACATCCCGTATACCCTATATATCCCCTACACCCCGTACATCCAGTATACCCTATACATCCCCTACACGCCCTACATCTTGTACATCCCGTACGCCCCATACATCCTGTACACCCCATAAATACTGTACATCCCGTACACCCCATACATCCCGTATACCCCATACATCCCGTATACCCCATACATCCTGTATACCCCATACATCCCGTATACCCCCCTACATCCCGTATACACCCTGTACATCCCGTATACACCCTGTACATCCCGTATACCCCATACATCCTGTACATCCCATACATATACCGTACATCCTGTACACCCCATACATCCCGTATAGCCCGTACATCTCATATACCCAGTACATCCCATACATTCCGTATACCCTATACATCCCATACATCTTGTAAATCTCGTACACACCCATACATCCCGTACATCCCGTATACCCTATATATATCCCCTACACCCCGTACATCCAGTATACCCTATACATCCCCTACACGCCCTACATCTTGTACATCCCGTACGCCCCATACATCCTGTACACCCCATAAATACTGTACATCCTGTACACCCCATACATCCCGTATACCCCATACATCCCGTATACACCCCCGTGTACATCCCGTATACACCCTGTACATCCCGTATACACCCTGTACATCCCGTATACCCCCCCATACATACCGTACATCCTGTACACCCCATACATCCCGTATACCCAGTACATCCCATACATACTGTACATCCCATACACCCCATACATTCCGTATACCCTATACATCCCATACATCTTGTAAATCTCGTACACCCCATACATCCCGTACATCTTGTACATCCCGTATACCCTATATATATCCCCTACACCCCGTACATCTTGTACATCCAGTATACCCTATACATCCCCTACACACCCTACATCTTGTACATCCCGTACGCCCCATACATCCTGTACACCAAGCAGATATACTGACAGGTCTGCAGGAGACTTGCAGGGCATAAGCAATCTACTGATCACTGGTGCAATGCTTTCCAAGCTCCTGCAACCAAAAACAGTATATGTGCATTTTCTTACCTGCAAAAAAAAGTGTATTTATTATTTTTAGGCAAACAGTGAATTTATCCTTTAAGAGCCACTATAATGCTTTTGGGGTTTTTGTTATTGTTTTTTAAGTAAATACTGAGAATGCACACGGGACGTTTTTACAGCGGCTGTTTTTGGCTTTTGACATTTTTTTCTACAGCCAGTAAACCCCCCAGTGTGTTCTCCTATGTGTCCATACACACACAGACTGGAATCAGCGTTTTTTGGCTGAAAAAAAAAATCCAGGACTAGTGGGCTTCTAGAGGAGTTTTTTTAACGCTAACACTGAAAAATGTAAATCGCGGCAAACCAGCATTTTTGGACTTTTTTTTTTTTTTTTTTTTTTACAAAAAAAATGGGTTTTTTGGTAAAATAAAACAAAAAAAAGTGTCTAAATGCTAATGCACAAACACTGACAAAATGTGGTAAATTGCAGCAAATCAGCATATCTGAACTTTTTTCTTTTTTTTTTTTTATGTCCTCAAAAAAAAAATTTTTTTTATGCCCCCCAAAAAAAATTTTTTTTTTCTGAAGAAAAAAAAAACACAAACGTGGGAAAACAGTGTTAAATGCTAATGCAAAAATGCTGAAAAATCGTGGCAAACCAGCATTTGTGGACTTTTTTTGACCCAAAAAAAAGTGTCTAAATGCTAATGCACAAACGCTGAAAAATGCGGTAAATTGCAGCAAACCAGCATATCTGAACTTAATTTTTTTTTGGGGCATAAAAAAAAATAAATTTTTTTTCTTTTGTAAATGCGGTAAATCACGGCAAACCGGCATTTTTGGCCGTTTTTTTTTTTTTTTTTTTTTTTTGGTAAGAAAAAAAAATGCAAACGTGGGAAAAAAGTGTTAAATGCTAATGCAAAAATGCTGAAAAATTGTGGCAGACCAGCATTTCTGGACTTTTTTTGACCAAAAAAAAAAAGCGGCTAAACGCTAATGCAAAAACGCTGAAAAATGTAAATCACAGTAAACCAGCATTTTTGGATGTTTTTTTGACCAAAAAAAGGATTTTTTGGTAAAAAAAATTAAAAATGCAAACGCGTCTCAGCGCTAATACAAAAAACGCTAAAAAACGCAGAACTCATGTTTTTAAACGTGACTTTACACCGCTAATGTTACCAGCATTATAACGCCCCGTGTGCGTGGAGACTAAAAGGCAACGCTTTGACGCTCATGAAGGGAAGAGGTTTTATTTGTTTTTTTTTACTTTACTTTTATTTTATTAGAGAAGAGTTGTGTTTAAACTGGTCCTTCAGGAATGGAAATAAAAAAAAAAACACTTTTTCCTAGCAGGAGGCTGTTCAGTGATTTAGAGCTTTGTAGCTGCATGAGACGTGTGAAGAGCTGTGTGAAGTCTGAGCCCCGAATCTGCAATCAGTCGGAATGAAGATGTTTTTAGTGCAGACACAGCTACAGATACATTTCACTTGTCTTTAGGAAGAGATGGTAATCCTCCGAGACCACCCTGCACTGGAGTTGTGTGTGTGGTCTCAGCCTGCTGTCTGGTTGCAGTGAATGCAATAGTCGCAAGATATCTCTCGGTGATACATTGCTGTCTCTTACATCGAAAACTGTTTCAAGAGTCGGCGGAGGGCATATTTCAGAATTTCTCTTCTCAGTGCAAGAATGGGTTCTCAGGTCATTTAAAAGAGAAGTGTGTGTTTTTAGTTCCCAAATCGTACTACCTAGATGGATGCAGCATCAGTCCCCCGACGGCTCTAAGGCTGAGTTCACATATGCGGTGCGGTATATCGCTTGTGATTCACATAGGAACCGCACCGCATTCCTGTACAGATCACATGCGATTTGTGTGCGGTGCGATCGGAGCCATACATTCTCTATTGCACCCGCACCGAAAAGGTGCAGGACCCTTTTTTTTTTTGGGTCTGCACTAGAATCGGATCGCATGGGTATTCACACCCATGCGATCCGATTCTGCACATCGCACCGTGTTTTGTGGACCGATTTCAGTGTTAACATACACACCCGCAGCCGTTTTGTGTGAATGGGGTGCGATTGTGATGCGCTGCGAATTCCGCATCAGTGTGAACCAGGGCTAAGTGTGAGAACGCAGCGAACACATGATGCGAGTTCCCACTGCCGCTGTGAGTAGAGAGCGGTGACTGTCAGACTCGGGGTGGATCCCGACTTTAAAGTTGGGATCTCTCCCCAGCCTGGACCGGCTGAGTGACATTGGCTGACAGCGAACTTCAGCCGGCTGTCCGCTGAAGACAGGTCACAGGAGTGCAGGACGAACTGCACTCCTGTGATCTATTGGCGAAGTACAGCCAAAAGAGCTTCTCCTTTTAGATGACCGACAAAAGTGAGTCAAGTTGATGGATGCGCCAAATGCCCCGATGAAATACGGTTGGTGTGAACAGGTTGGTTGGGCTACCCAATAAACCAGTCTAGTCTCCCGTTTTAATCCTGACTGCAGTTTAACCTCTTGGCGCCGGCCGCACACAAATGTGCGGCCTCCCGGCATCTGGGCCTTGGCGTCGAGCGGCCGCACATTTGCGTACAATCAAGAAAAACGTGTGCTGAGAGTGCGCGCTCCGAGCACACATGTCCGGTACTCACAGAAAGGTCCCGATCTCTTTTGATCGGGACCTTTCTCGATCATGTGACGGTGAATCACGGCAGTCACATGACCCTAAGACCTCGCCCAAGCCGCCCAGCTTCTGAAACCCTTAAAGGGCCAGGAGGCGCCGGCGCCAAGGGGTTAACAAATACAGGCGTACCTCGGTTTGCGAATTTAATACATTCTGCTGGAATTTTCGTATTGCGAAAAATTCCTAAACGGAAACGCGGTTTCCCATAGGAATGCATTGAAAACCAATTAATCCGTTCTGGAGGTCAGAAAAAAGTTAAAAAAAAAGTATTTTTTTCTGTTCAAAACTCTTTGTAAAGTGCACTTTAAAGGCATAAATACTGTACAGGGACAGGATTAAAAATGAATTCACAAATGCAATGAAAACCAATTAATCTGTTCCGGAGGTCAGAAAAAAGTTTTAAAAAAAAGTATTTTATCTGTTCAAAACTCTATATAAAGTGCACTATAAAGGGACATGGTTAAAAAAATTGTAAAATGCATTGAAAACCAATTAATCCGTTCCGGAGGTCAGAAAAAAGTAAAAAAAAAAGTATTTTATCTGTTCAAACTCTTTATAAAGTGCACTTTAAAGGCATAAATACTGTACAGGGACATGATTTAAAAAAAAATTTGTAAATGCATTGAAAACCAATTAATTCGTCCTTATTGCAAAAAAAAAAATTGGTAAACTGAGCCATTGTCAATGGATTTTCATTCGTAAACCGAAAATTACGTTAACCGAGGTGTTTGTAAACCGAGGTACGCCTGTGCTGTTAAAGCCGATGTCAGAGAAGGGCACGGGCCGAACACAGCTCTCCTGTGATAGGTGATCAGGTAGAGCTGTACTTCGCTGAACAGGCGCCCTCTGTAGGTGGTTGGAGTTCTGCACTTTTCTTGGAGGACCTCTTTATCCTTTGATGCCATACCACTATTGTCAGTGTGACTGTAGACTGAGAATGGAGTATGATTTCTTTGCCGCTACGTTGTATCGCACACAGAAAATTCCACATTTGGATTTTCTGTGCCCTTTGCTCGTGTATATTGGTTGTTTTTTATATAGATGGGAAAATATATAATTACAGGGCTACCATGTCAATATTATGTATAGAAAATAAATTAAATTAATTCCATATTTGTTTTGTTTATACTTGATGAAATATTGTGCTGATTTATCTCCTCCACAAGGATAGCACACATCTCCACGTAACCCATCCCCCTGAGGCAGAAAATACTCTGCTCTTGGCCTTCTCTCTACCTTCTGAATTACACCCACCACCAGGATATCTCACTGCCAACAGGACCCCCCCTCCATAAAGTAGAAAATACTCTGCTCTTGGCCTTCTCTCTACCTCCTGAATTACACCCACCACCAGGATATCTCACTGCCAACAGGACCCCCTCCATAAAGTAGAAAATACTCTGCTCCTGGCCTTCTCTCTACCTTCTGAATTACACCCACCACCAGGATATCTCACTGCAACAGGACCCCCTCCATAAAGTAGAAAATACTCTGCTCCTGGCCTTCTCTCTACCTCTGAATACACCCACCACCAGGATATCTCACTGCCAACAGGACCCCTGCATAAGGTAGAAAATACTCTGCTCCTGGCCTTCTCTCTACCTCCTGAATTACACCCACCACCAGATATCTCACTGCCAACAGGACCCCTGCATAAGGTCACCTCCTGGCCTTCTCTCTAGAATTACACACACCACCAGGATATCTCACTGCCACCAGGACACCTGCATAAGGTAGAAAATACTCTGCTCCTGGCCTTCTCTCAACCTCCTGAATTACACCCATCACCAGGATATCTCACGGCCAGCAGAACCCCCCCCCCCCCCCCCCCCCCCCCCCCCCCCCATAAGATAAAAAATAATCTGCTCCTGACCTTCTCTCTCCTGAAGTACAGCCACCAGGATATCACACCTCCAAACGTGACCCTTCCCCTGAGGCAGAAAATCCTTGCTCTTGGCCTTCTCTCTGCCTCCTGAATTACACCCACCACCAGGAAATCTTGCAGCCAACAGAACCTCCATCCATAAGGTAGAAAATACTCTGCTACTGACCTCTCTTACCTCCTAAATATGGCCAGCACCAGGATTTCACACCTCCCAACATGACCCTTCCCCTAAGGCAGAAAATACCTTGCTCCTGGCCTTTTCTCTACCTCCTGAATTACACCCATCACCAGGATATCTTGCAGCCAACAGGACCCCCCCATAAGGTAGACAATACTCTGCTCCTGACCTCTACCTTCAGAATTATGGCCACCACCAAGA